CTCATCTGTATATACAAAATTTTTATTAATATCTGGTGAAGGAAATTTTTGTTTTGGTGTTGGTCAGTTGTTGGATATGTGTAATGATGTTATGTGTGTGAGTTGTGTTTTTGTAATGTTTATGCTTGTGTGAAAAGTTGACAAAAACAAACTCACCAACCACCGGCGGAACTGCCGCCGTCGAAACTTCTGGCTTGGGTGGCACGACCTCCTCGCACCACCTCCAAGGCGTCACGACACGATCCATGTCGACTCGACGCCCGACGCAGACCGTTGGTGACATCAGCTTCACCTCCTTCAGAAACAAGAAAAGCTGTTATTTCCACCTCAACAAACAATGTCGAAAAAACTCACCTTGAGATCCGCCTGACGCACGCAGTCCAGGAACAGCGTCGACCCGACGAACGTCACCCAACGTCCGTAGCCGCCAGTGTCCCGCACCTCCTCTCCGCAGACGTCCCGACACTTGAAGACCCCGTCGTCTGGACCACAATCCGCACCTGCACCAACCAGCAACCATAGCAGCAACGCCACGATCCTCAGGAACGCCATCTGTGAACATTTCAAAAAATTTGTTATTTCTGAAAAAGAAAATTTTTTTTTGGGAACTCACTTTTCACTTGCTGAAATCTCTTCTTGACGAAGTTGAAGATCCACAACAGTACAAAGTCACTGGATAAACGTACGATTCGCGAAACAATGTTTGAGGCCACCAACTCCAGGAGACCCATCAACTTTTGTCGACTCCTGGAGACAGGAAGTCGTTAACGACGCAGCCGCGTCCGAAACGAAAATCGAGAAATTACAATCGGAAAACTTTGAAAAAAATACACTAAGTTAACAATACTCACCAAAGTTAACCGCCAAAATTTCAGGCCCAACGGATCATCCGTTAACGAATGGCACTCGATGCCAACTGAAGAAGATATTTTCATTCTTCTTGATCCGAACATCTGTTGGATCCATGCCTGATTCCTCCTGATGGATAGCAATAACAATTGCCATTTCCATAAAGCCTTTATGGCTCCTGAAAGAAACAGCAACGGAAAATAGGGCACTGTCGCACTGAGTCTCGCACTTGGTTCACTTGTTGTTCTTTTTCTGCTGACTTTCATAAAAGGATGGAACCTTTTTTTTTTTTGTGCGGGGTGAGTTTGTTATCTTAGAAATACATTAACTTACAGAATACCCTTTTTGGAAGTTTCAGAAGAAACCATTTAGAAAGCCTAGAAACGGAAATCATGGAAGCATAGATAATTGCTTCCTTTTCCTTTGTGAGAAGATTTGACAACTTCTCATGATTAGTTACAATAGCCTTCTTTACGGTAATTAGGGTACAATCAATCCTGGAACCCTGGTGAGCTCAACTCTGTGTGAAATCCAGTGATATTCGGATCCCTCGTTCATGTGGCGCATGGTCATTATTACTGAAGTATAACCAGCGCACTCATATTTCACTCAGAGTGATTTCCACATTATTTCCTTTCACGGATTGGGATTTCCGCTATTAAGGTCGCGTCGATTATTTCCTTTGTTCCCTCATCTAGGCTGGCTAGGCTTAAATACCCCTGCTTGGTGAAATCAAAAGAGAGATCTCATCCAAGCTTCATACAGTAAACTCCATAGCCAAAGCCTTGTTAAAGCTCAAACCTATTTCGAAGTAAAGTACAAGCTGGACTTGTGTGTTTGTGTATTTGTATTGTTGTATTGAATGTTTGTATGCGGATGAGAATATTGTATAAAGATAGTTGATCCAGAATAAGAACTTGGTTCTTTTTATTCTCGACTCAGTCCTGTAATAGAAAGGACAACAGTGTGTAAGGTTAAATGTGAGCTTCCGATTAATGGGCTTCATTATCCACACATGATACGAATTTCGCGTGCGAGTTATTATTATTGTTGCTGGGACATGTATTATTGTAGATACTGCACTGAACTGTGTTCCAGTCTTAGTAAGCTTCATCTTTTTCCCCCGGGGTCGAATAAAAAGCCTGGACTTTCGGAAAGTCCGAGAAAAGTCGAAGAAAATACGAGGTTATTTAAATACAGTAATTTCAGAGTATGAAACTCTGAATTAAAAAAAAAATAAGGAACGCTATACATGACATTTACAGCAGTTGCTTCAACGCCTGGCTTATACAGTACATGTACAGTATACAGAAATTGAAGAATTACATTTTCTGGAATAAGAAAACGAATCACGTTTCAAGTCTGTTTGATGCATGGTTGATGCGTTCGATACTTCATGGCAGCTTCACAATATTTCGCGCTGAAAATGCATTTTATTCTTTGTCGTCATAATATTTCACATGTCCGATCCCAGCACAAACTCTTCATGTGCAAAAGAAGCTAATAAAATCGTTATGGCAAAGTTCAATATGCGTTAGAATGTCAAATTTTGTACTTGCACGTGCACGGCGAGGGAATCGAAAGTTTCACAATCTTTGAAGAGACTCGAAAATCAGCTTCGAAAGTTGACTATGAATTTTAGAAAGACCACCCTCCTGTACACAAGCCAATCAATTTAGAGTTGGTTATAATATTTCAATTTCTTCAGACTTGAATTAAATGTATAGTTCAGAAAAGAAAAATGGGTGTTTTTGAAAGAACAACTGAGCTGTTAATAAGTATGTTACTGTTGTCCAGTTGGTGCCCTTGCACAGCAACAAGCTTTCAAATAAAACCCGTTTTGAAAACCAGTTCAATTACGTTGATTCGCTCGTTAATTTTTTCATATGTTGTGAAACTATCATCTCCAAATCCATGGAAATTTAAAAATTGAAGAAAAGCAGGCAAACATATCCTTTCTTTCAAAAACGGAAACTTCACCTTGCTCCATTTTCCCTTTCTGTTTTCGAAACCGGTTCTACATTAAACTCATGATGGAAATCGGCGGTTCTTATTGAAAGAGGCTGAACTATAATAATACTGTTGAAGAAAACATTTCGCATTTCACACGTATTTCCAATGTATCATTATTCCCTTCACCATAACGCAGACACCCTCGAATTATTCATATCGTAAAACCATACAACAGTAGAAACTCGTTAAAACGTAAATAAGAGCTTATATGTGGGCCTTGAAGAAAAGCTCCGAAAATACACAGCAAGTAAAACGAAATTAAAATAACACTGGCTATTGGAAAGGGGGGGGGGGAAGACTCGTTGTAAACATAACTTCGTTATAATGAGATTCGTTTTACTGTAACAAAATTCAACGTCCTTATCCTTCATCAATAAATATCTCAAGTCAAAGGTATACCGCATCCTGTCATACTGCGTTTGGTCTCGCCACAGCGACGCAAGCGACACCTGCCCAACATTTCGGAAACGAAATTCCGTCGTACGCAGTACCGCTTCGGAATCGCGGATATATCGAGAGAAAATTGATTCGCGCTTATCCCAGGAATGACTGCTGTAATGAATTTCCGTGAGAGCATTATTCCAAAGAGGGGTATATGGGGGGGTTAACTTTCGGAAGTACCCCAGGGAAGCTGAAGTCAGTGTCCGGAAATCCCCCGACGCTTTCATATTTTTCGCTCCCCCACCCTCGCACTGCTCAACACACGCCGGTGTGAAATACGAGCGCGGCGTCGTGTTTTGATAAGCCAGTCAGAATAAGAACACCGAATAAATGTACCGAACAAAAAAAAATATATATATATACAGTATTCCCTCACACGTCGGTCTTGGAGGAAAAGCACAAGGGAAGAAACCAAAAAAAATCAGAGCAAGAATATTCCTTGTTCCGGTCGAAGGGAGAACCGAACCAGAAAAGTTGGGTTATCTTGGTGATGAAAGGCAGCAGGTCGAAGCTCGGAAGGAAAATGAATGGTTCTCGAAATGATTAATTCGTTTCGGGTTTTTGAGCAGGGCCTGAGGAAACCTCGGGTCTCAACAGCTGCTTTCACAAGGGAAATTTCCATTTAGAAAAACTGAGACTGGATTTCCTACCCAGCTAAATCCATAAGTATAAGATAAAAAAAATTAACCCAACCCTTTATGAGGTTACATAAAATCATGAAGAGAAAAAAGATTATCATCAACCAAGTTTTTGATTTTTTTTTCTGTTTCGTCCTGCCTCTCGTTCAATGATGGTAATAATTACTCACACCGAGAATCTCAATTTTTTGCTAATTAAGGTCATCAGCCAGAATTTAATTAAAGTTTTTCATCGTAAATTTCGTAGAGGGGAAGAAATCTCACCCAACGAAATCGGTTCAGAAGACGAATTCTTTTCGGAGAAAAAACGCTCCAATTTCAGTAAGTTTTTCATTCAATTTTACTTTTTCAGTAAGTCAGGTGTAAGTTTAATTGCAGGATCCATGCACATCAGAATCGACAACAAAATCCATTTTCTGTTGACTGAAAACTACCGAATTTTTCCACAAAAAAAACCTCTGTTTACTTCTCAGAAGCAATCATCAGCAGTAGAACATTTGGCTGTTTTTTCTGTCAAGCGTCAAGAATAAAATTTAAAAAAGAAACCAATGAATCGGATGGGTCATTTTCCCCGCTGAACTTAAACCTGCAAAAAATTTCGACTTTGACTTCATTTCCGTTCTTTTTTTTTCGTCTCATGAAATGGAAATTTCTTAAGAATGCGTGAATGATGTGTTGTACAGTACAGTATATATGGGAAATATTCCTGATCCCGCCTTTCATTCCAGTCTACCTTGTGCAAAGCGATCTTCTCTTTCGAGACGAGACCAGACTCGCTTTTGCATCGAACCCGATTATTTTCTGCGACCGGAAATGAAAGCATCGTTTCCGGAGTCGCGCGCGGATCCAATTTCCGCTCCCGAGGCTTTTCAATGAACGGCCCATCAAGCAGTTGCTCGCCAGGCTCGTCAACGCAATCTCTTACCCAAGAATCGACAAACCACCAAAGAAGAGAGCCCCAGTATAGGGAACCTATGGTGTATAACTGTNATGCGTTCGATACTTCATGGCAGCTTCACAATATTTCGCGCTGAAAATGCATTTTATTCTTTGTCGTCATAATATTTCACATGTCCGATCCCAGCACAAACTCTTCATGTGCAAAAGAAGCTAATAAAATCGTTATGGCAAAGTTCAATATGCGTTAGAATGTCAAATTTTGTACTTGCACGTGCACGGCGAGGGAATCGAAAGTTTCACAATCTTTGAAGAGACTCGAAAATCAGCTTCGAAAGTTGACTATGAATTTTAGAAAGACCACCCTCCTGTACACAAGCCAATCAATTTAGAGTTGGTTATAATATTTCAATTTCTTCAGACTTGAATTAAATGTATAGTTCAGAAAAGAAAAATGGGTGTTTTTGAAAGAACAACTGAGCTGTTAATAAGTATGTTACTGTTGTCCAGTTGGTGCCCTTGCACAGCAACAAGCTTTCAAATAAAACCCGTTTTGAAAACCAGTTCAATTACGTTGATTCGCTCGTTAATTTTTTCATATGTTGTGAAACTATCATCTCCAAATCCATGGAAATTTAAAAATTGAAGAAAAGCAGGCAAACATATCCTTTCTTTCAAAAACGGAAACTTCACCTTGCTCCATTTTCCCTTTCTGTTTTCGAAACCGGTTCTACATTAAACTCATGATGGAAATCGGCGGTTCTTATTGAAAGAGGCTGAACTATAATAATACTGTTGAAGAAAACATTTCGCATTTCACACGTATTTCCAATGTATCATTATTCCCTTCACCATAACGCAGACACCCTCGAATTATTCATATCGTAAAACCATACAACAGTAGAAACTCGTTAAAACGTAAATAAGAGCTTATATGTGGGCCTTGAAGAAAAGCTCCGAAAATACACAGCAAGTAAAACGAAATTAAAATAACACTGGCTATTGGAAAGGGGGGGGGGGAAGACTCGTTGTAAACATAACTTCGTTATAATGAGATTCGTTTTACTGTAACAAAATTCAACGTCCTTATCCTTCATCAATAAAGATCTCAAGTCAAAGGTATACCGCATCCTGTTATACTGTACTGCGTTTGGTCTCGCCACAGCGACGCAAGCGACACCTGCCCAGCATTTCAGAAACGAAATTCCGTCATACGCAGTACCGTTCCGGAATCGCGGATATATCGAGATGAAATTGATTCGCGCTTATCCCAGGAATGACTGCTGTAATGAATTTCCGTGAGAGCATTATTCCAAAGAGGGGTATATGGGGGGTTAACTTTCGGAAGTACCCCAGGGAAGCTGAAGTCAGTGTCCGGAAATCCCCCGACGCTTTCATATTTTTCGCTCCCCCACCCTCGCCTTGCACTGCTCAACACACGCCGG